CAGTAGAGGTAAATGTTCTGGACTATGTACCGGAGTTATTTGCACATCACCACAGTCCACCTTTTTACAAGGGAAGTGGCAAGCTAACGACTTGCTAATGTCACGCTCACTGAGTTTGTGGTTTGTGCTGTAAAATAACAATATAGAGAAGTTGACGGCTGCAATACATGTGTAAAAACTATTTAAAAACACACTTCTGTCTTAATCTGATGACAATTTAACAAATTGGTATTGTGCCTGTATAAGCACGCAGTTCAGTTAACAGTAACAGACACGATGGCAACCTCACTAGATCTGTCCAACCAGAGCAATCAAAATGGAAGGCATGCAAAAAATCAGAACCAATTCATATGAGATATCTTTATTGTATATTTTCCTCACCAGTCATAACAACAAAATAAATTATTCTTAACAAGCTTCCATGTGATTCCAGGCATCATTCGGTCGCTGCAAATTTGAGTAAAGCTGCTGGAAATGTTGCTGATGCCACTGTTGTATTCCTATCTGCTACAGCATGATTGTCCACGTGACACAAATTTCAACATTAGAAGTTATACGCAAAGCTTTGTGTAGCTGTCAGCGCTCCTTTTAATTTGCTGTGGCCAGGCAGATTTGTCCACACATCTAGTTTGTATGCTTCCCCCAAAAGTGCTCCACGCTTGCTACAAAATAATATAATAGAAGTAACTACTCTTCCTCTGTGTCTGCAGCTGTCTGCATGTACTTCTGCAAGGGAGCGTAATCTCTGCCTGACACTCAGATTAGAGAGCTAATCTCACTTCATGCTGATTATGGAAAAGACTTGTATCTTAAAGGGACTGTAATGATCTCTTAAATTATATGCAACTTCCTCTGCTTTCTATTCTTGCCTGTTAAATGTCACAAATCATCCAAATCTAATTGATGAGCTTGATGAAGCAGCAATGCTACATATTCCATGACTGAAAAGGCTTTATTATGTGTACGATGGAGGATAGAAAGAGTGAGTAAAGAGTGGTAGAGAGGGAGATGGGGGTGGGTAAGCCTTGTAAACACTAACCCCTTTCCCCCTCTCTTCCTCTTTTTGTTTCCTCTCGATCTCTCTCCCCCACCCTCCTTCTGTAGTGGCCAAGATGAACGACAGATGTAAGGAGAAGAGGGAGGGAGGGGTGTGTGTCTGTGCCTGTATGAGTGAGCAGGAAGCAGAGATATTACATTGCCTATCAATTAGGAGCAGCTAGTTTAAAATATTTTTCCACTGTTTCTTGCCAGTGCTGAGAGGAGGACCAGTGCCAGCCTTGAATTACTTCCCCATGTGTTTTTAACCTTCATGGTTACAGGGAAAGTTTGCTGAGTATGCCCACTCGTTCAGTCATCATTACACTAGTTTAAGTTACCTATTCTTCGCTCTTAACCAGGTGCAGCCCAGTAGAGTCACACTTACAAAAGAGGTCCGTTCAACCGTGTGGAAACATTTATTTAAGAATAAACTGATGCTTGGTAGTACCGTAGTAAGAATACTGTGAGGATACGTATCCAGATTCTGTTAATTAGCCAACCAGCTGTTGTCTTGCACTGCAGACAGACGCCACTTCACTGTCTCATACTGGAGCTAGCACTGGTAGTCCCGGTTCTGTTCTGCTCTGCCGCCTTAGTGAGCTAGCCGTAGTGGCAGATAACCAGTCCTCCACCTGCTGCGGTTTCTGGTTTCAGTAGCCTTCCAGCTCACTGCAGATCTCCCAGCAAGCAGAACCAGAACTACTGTCGCCAGCTTTAGTCCAGGATGGTGGACAAGAGAATCACTGGTGTGGCAGCTGAATGACTTTAGGACTGCCACAATCAGCTTGTACACTTATTAAACAGGCTTTATTTGAAAAAAATCATATTACAAAATTTAGGTTATTGGCATAAATCTGGTACCTTAAACAAACCAAAGCGGCCAAGTCACATAATCTGCATCTGCTGATGTCTGTAGGATATCAGACTGTCAAAACATTCGACTGCAAATCATTTGTAACAGACTATGAATTTGATTATTTTAACGTAATTGTGCATTTATTTCTTTTAAAAAAATCTGGTTACTGTGTATATTAAAAACCTCCCACAAAAATAGGTCATCGAAAGTGAATATAAAACCATATTTTTATTAAACACAGCTTTTTAATACCTCATGAAAAGGGAAAGTAGAGTTCATGGATTTATATTGATTGCATTTACATGGGCGCTGTCTGCAATAACTAGATTGCTTGAACTTTATGAAAATAGAAACCTAGTTTTATTACAGCAGGGATTTAATAGTTCCAAAAACTTTGTTCCAGCCATTAACTGTTAATTGCCTGGAATTGGAATTCAATCTAGGAAAAAGCGCTTACACTCTGAGTTTGATTTCACTGTAATTTCTTCCTTATTGTCTATAAAATGGTTTGTTAATAATTTATGTGGTATGTCTTAATTGGTCTATTTCTGCCTTAGTTGTGGACCTGAAAGAAGTATGAAAGACAGTATGAGAGACTTTTTATGAACTGTGTATACATGTGCCTCTCTCCCTGCTGTTTGTTTCTTTTCATATTTCAAAATTCATTTGAATCTTTATGCTTCTTTCCTTTTGTATGCTCACCTCTCCCTACACCAATCTTTATCCCTCATTGTTCACACATTATCTGTTAATCTCCTTTTCTGCATCTCTCACTTTATTTACCTTGGCTCATTCTTTGTTTATTCTTGTTCTCCACATTTGCCTGCCTACCCAAATCATTTGCTTTCTCGGCCATTCCTCTGCTTGTATACTTTTCCTCCTCTCATAATAACATACATTCACTCATTTTACCCACCCACATTTTTTTTCTCCTTTCTGCTCTTCCTACTTTTTCCTCCCTTCCAACCTTCTTGCCCTTTATTGTTTTCCCCTGTGTTCCTCTCTCCCTTGTCCTGCAGCTGTCCAAGAGGAGCGGCAGAGGAACAAGGATAGAGATGGTGACGTGGAGTCGACCAGTGCCGTCAACGAGGAGATGCCAGTAGAGAAGATTTTGGAAGCAGAGATGGCCGTAGAGCAGAAGACAGAGCTGCATGCAGATGGAAGTTCGGGCGGCAGCTCTGTGAGTAGCCTGGAGGTGGAAATAAACCCTTTAGATGTTTTTAACAATAGAAATAATTATCAAAGGAAGTCAGAGTTTAAACAAACTGTATAGCAGTTACCCGTTTGTGTTTCTTGAGCTTTGCGTGATACAGTTACTGTTAGACGTCAGATTAGTTGTAATATTATTCATTGCAGCATTAAAGCTGCAATAAAATCACTACCACTCATACTGTAAATCTGCTTATTTCAGCCCAACGATCCAGTCACCAACATCTGCCAGGCAGCAGACAAGCAGCTCTTCACGCTGGTGGAGTGGGCCAAGAGGATCCCTCATTTCTCAGAGCTGCCCCTGGATGACCAGGTCATCTTGCTACGTGCAGGTAAGTCAGACTGATTTGATCCGGTTTAATGACTCAGATGAGATTCTACTGGTTTTACTCTTAGTTAAAACTATCATGATATACTTTAACAGTTTTAAAAATGCACAAATAACAGGGCGGTTGTTGCAAACAATGAACATTTTTATTGTGGTTCTTTGTAACAATGGCATTAGTTTGATCTTCACCATGCATGGGTTGATATAAAGTACACCATATGGTCCATCCATCAAAATTGAAACATTTTAATCTTACATAATCTTCAGTTCTCAGGATTTATATTGTGCTGTAACCCAATCTTAAAACTTCCGGTGCAGCTTTTAGCCTCACTTGTGCATCAAAGAAGAATGCAAACATTACTTTTGCTGATCAAAGAAATTCAGGAAACAATTTAACAATGTTAAGTTTAACTCTTTGATGTTATTTTGAATTCATTATTTTGGTTTTTAAGATCCATTGTTACGTCTTGTTCTCAATAAATTTCACACTGTGTCAGTAAAGATTTTCAACTTGAATAATTATTTCATCAATCATGTTTCATTTAAGTGTTCCCATATTTATTTACTTATTTATTTATTGAGCAGTATATTTGATGCAGTTATTACAACAGCAGCCGCTACAGCCAAGAAAAGCTAAGCATAAACTTGCACACTATTTTTGCAAGGGTATTTGACATGTTCTGCTTTTTGTGCTTTGTGAAGTACAGTTACTATAGAGGTAAATTTGGGTAATCTCTTGTTTCTGACGGGTTGTCACATTGAATGGATCCGTGTCTTTGATTTTGCACACATTTAATGATGAGTGTTCTGCCTGATCTCTCCCATTTTTCTGGGCTTTGCAGGAGCACAGTAGCTTGTGACCTACTGAGGCTAGGTTTGTGTGTCTTAGTCTTGAACTGGGGATCTGTCTCATGTATTAGCTGCACCAGTAGTTGCTGAATTTTATTTACATATTTTTATATATATTTAAATGATCAGGAAATTATTTAGTCTCCTGCCATATTTAGATGCAACCAAAGATTAAACTCGACCAAGTTCAAATGAAGGCAATCGTGTGGTTAAAAAAAACTTGCTTACAGGATGAAATGAAAGCTTTTATAAACATTTATTAATAAATAAAGTTTAATGTATTTGTTTTTTAAACATGAAATAAACCTCATTAAAGATACTGAGGCGCCAACTTTTCAACAGGCTGGAATGAGCTCCTGATTGCATCGTTCTCCCATCGCTCCATCTCGGTGAAGGACGGGATTTTACTTGCCACAGGCCTGCATGTCCACAGGAACAGTGCCCACAGTGCAGGTGTTGGAGCTATCTTTGACAGGTAATGCCACAATGTATGGAAACACAAACGGTGCAACTGTGACGCACAAACAACATTTGGGACTCTCTGCAGCTTTAAGGAGAAGAAGGCATGAAACCAAAA